CTGCTAGTGTACCTCATATTAGTTACTATTTCATTTCCAACATTAGAAATAACGCTCGTGTAACAAAATTTGGGTGAAATCTAAACTAATTTAAGGTAAATGCAAAAAGGAGCTGAAGGAGTGCATGCAGCAAATCCAGACCTTCTCATCATTGTTTCTGCGCTTCATTATGATACAGATCTCTCATTCCTCGCTCAAAATCCCATTAACTTAACATTCAAAGGCAAACTAGTGTACGAGATCCATTGGTATAGTTTCTCCAATGGGAATTCTTGGGCTATTGGTAAGCCAAACTAAGTTTGTGGGCAGGCCGTGGACAACATCAACCGAAAAGTTGGATCAAGGGTATCCTCTGTTTGTGAGTTAGTTTGGTTTGGATCTACGGGGAGATAACTGGAGTGATAATAGATACTTCAACTGCTTCATGAGTTGGGTGTCAGGTTTAAGCCTAAAACGGAGAAATGGAAAACCTAAACCGTCGCCGGAAAGGCTAGGGTGTCGGTCCGTGATGGCGGAAATGGGGGGAAATGTAACCGGAGACCGGAAACGCGAAAGAAAAGAAACAAATGTTTCTGATTTTACAATTCTGATATTTTCAATAACTACAATTCAGCCCCTACATTTCTTTTATAACTCTCCTCAAAATAACAATAGAAAAATTACCATTCAGTCCTACAGTTAAGTAAAATACTACAAAAATCCAGGGGCATGACATTCCCTTCCCCTTAAATAAAGTCTTGACCTCAAGACTTGTTTTCTGATTCAGAATCTCCAAACCAACTATTCTGCTACTTGTTTGGCTGATGTCTCCAATTTGGTGATGAAGACGTTGGATATAAGTAAGAGAAAACCGCAACTTCATCGGTTGGCTTATGAAGACTTCATCAAGCTGAAACCCTACTGCATCTTTGAACTTTGGAATGTAATAATCCTTGGCATTCACAACTTCTAGCCAATCCCGTACTATGGTAAGGAGTACATGAATTCCCACTTCCTTGGTGACAATTGATGCAAGCTTTAGGTAAGCTAAACAAGAGATGCCACACAACAAAAGCTCTCTGATGCGGCTCTTTTCAGATCCCCTTGTGTTTAATTGATGAAGGATCAGATCTGATTTTAAGCTCCATCCAAGCAATTTTAGTGAAGGTCCAAATTCCCAAACTTCTGTTGTAGCTCTCCAAATCAAATCAAGGGTTGCCAATTAGAAGATTCATCAAGCTCCTTTTTTACCCCCGGATTTCTTTTGTCTAAACGGTCATCAAACCCCAATGATGTAGAGTTGAGAATCCACCAACAATTGACACCTTCAGTTTCAGAATTAGACTACCAGAAAGCTTCATAAACACATAACACATCATTTCCAGCTGGTTTAAGCAGGCTTGAAATATAAGAAATCTCATGTCCATATCATTCATTTGGTGTGGTTTCCGAGGATGCTTTGTTGCAGGAAATGACAAAAATTGCACACCAACCCTTGCATTGACTTCCCTAATCGATAGATGCCCTTCCAGTAGCTCAAGTGATGCAGCACTTTCACGATTGAGCACATTTCCAATCAAAGAGTTTTTAGGCCCTGTTGAACCAGCTACTTCCATTGTCTTAAGATTTTGAATTCATGACATTCCAAATTGAACATCAAATCTACTATGGTTCCCAAAACCATGCCCTTCACATGACTCCGATGAGAATGAGAAATGAAAGGCTCCCTATACTCTGTTTGCCTCCTAGTCAACCAAAGATGAGTAATCACTCCTCTCTCGTCAAAAACAACCTTGTGTCTACAAAATGCATAAAGAAATGCAGACCACCAATCAATTGACTTGCAGATACTATTACCTTCTTTGAATACTGTTGCCATGGTAGTCCAACCTTTGAAAGTTTTCTTCAATTGAGACTCAATAGAAGGGTTTTTCTGAATAGTATTAGTCCCACCTTTGAAACAAGTAACCAACTTCTCTACCCACATACCGATTCTGCTTTCTTGGAATCTTACGCTCCATCACGTAGTCCTGTAAAACACACTTAGCAAACAACTCACAATTGCCGAATCCAAGCACTTGATCAAACAAAGTATGTAACTTAGACAAACCTCTTGATTCCACACAAGGAACCAACACAGCCTCAAAAACATTACCCTTCCTATTCCATACTGCATATTCCCATGTTTGCCAAACCATTCTTCCTCCCTCCTTGAAAACCACCTTGTCCTCAAGGTTGTGAAATATTTGAATTACTGTAAAGACTATTGTGCCTAGAATGAATTCATCATGCTGCAGTTGAAATGATCTTCCAACAACAGTGCCACCTTCAAAACTTGTCACCAGAACCACCCAAGCTTTTGGAACATCATCACACTTATTTTTCAATGAAACTTGGAACCTGATTATTCCCAAATCAGCAGCTGACCAGATGAGAATATCTATAACAGTAGGGTAACTTGAACAAACAGAACCCTCAACAATAACTGTACCCCCTTTAAAACCAGTTATGGACAGAGGCCACGATTTATGCCTCACCTTCGTATCATTAAATGTCGTTCTGGCAATCCCTACCTCTAAAGTAGATATTCTCGGATCCCATACCACACCATGAATACTTCCATGCATATTAGTTATTTCACCTCTAGTATCCCAGCCACCAATAGTAACGGGATATTCAATGCTAAAAGACTCACTCACTCCACCAGGATCAATCGCAAACCAACCCAATACAATCCCTCTACTCAAACAGTTTATACTTACACTGTCAACCAACTCAATTGCAGGAATTCCTTCAATGAAGATTATTGGTCCCTCGTCAAAACATGTAACCATTTTATTCCATGGCCTAATCCTTTCCCTTATTCCAAAAAGTAAATCCATCTCATTGTCTATAACTGAATTCATGGACTTACTTCCTGCCTTAATCGGATCAGTGAAATAATTCCACTTGACAGCAGTTATATCATCAGCAGTACTCAGTCCAACACTTTCATCATTTAGACTTTCTGAAAACACCTTCAATTCATGATTGGATTTTCAACAGGAATAGAATGCAGAGAATTATCATCAACATAATTGCAATTCATGCCAGTCACAGTTATCATCTACCTCTTCCTTATAACCCAACAAATAATCATCATCATCATTCAAGGATTTGGTACTTTTTGGTTTAGCAGAGGAATTACCTTGATTGAGCACGGACACTGAGTCGTCATTGACTTCATCGCTGGAATCTTCATCGGAATCAAAAGCACGCTCCTCGGCTTCGTACTCAGCAATCGTTTCCCAGAAGATTTCTCTGGCCTTTGTTTCAGCTTCAACCGTACCAAATTTCGAATCAATGCCGCTGAGAATTGTTCCCATGAAACCCTACCGCAAAAGATCCTTGAAACCTACGTACCAAAAATCAGCAACATCAATTAGAAAGCACTCCACCTCTTCAATTCTTCGCGCCTCCTAAATACCTAATTGTGAGCAAAATTGATTGAATTTTGACAACCAATCGACAGGATTCCTTCCCGAGAAAGGGAATGGGTAGTCCTCTTCAATGGTGATTGCTGACTGTGGTTTCTCTGGCCGAAAATTGACCATTGATTCCTCCACCGGCGCGTTGACACCCAATCAACGCACACAGTCCGTGCAGAAACCGCAATAACCATCCACAGCGGAAGTCTCATACTGAAATGAATCCATTTCGACTTGATACGAGCTATCAATCCGAGGACCGATAGCTCTGATACCAATTGTCAGGTTTAGGCCTAAAACGGAGAAATAGAAAACCTAAACCGTCGCCGGAAAGGCTAGGGTGTCGGTCGGAGATGGCGGAAATGGGGGAAACGTAACCGGAGACCAGAAACGCGAAAGGAAAGAAACAAATGTTTCTGATTTTACAATTCTGATATTTTCGATAACTACAATTCAGCCTCTACATTTCTGTTTATAACTCTCCTCAAAATAACAATAGAGAAATTACCATTCAGCCCTACAGTTAAGTAAAATACTACAAATATCCCGGGGCATGACATTGGGCTGCTGAACGTGACTTCGATTGGGCTATCTGGACATTGGTTGGAAGTTATTATTTGAGAAAAGGGGTGATTGGTCTTAATGAGACCTATGGTATTCTTAGTAATTCGAGCTTGCTAAAAAGGATTTTTGTTCTTCAAACTCCATTTCAAGATACGTTTACGAATTACAATGAGTCGTTGGATTTCTTTCACCAAGAAATGATTTTTTCTTGTTGAGAATGATAGAGATAATGAAAATTTATAGTGAAGTAGGAGACTGATATAACATAATCGCATAATATCCCTTTTACCCGTTCTGTGGAGACATGCAAACAGCTGATCGATGAGGCAATGAGCAGTTCAAAGTCTTTGGTCATCTGATTCTTGTTCTTAGTGTTTGGTTGTGCTGTGCCTTGTTCATCTGTTCTGCGGTTGTCATGTTTATACTATAATATCATTTTATATTTTTCTCATTCCTTTACATATTTTGATCTTCTCTTTTTTTTTAAAAAAAATATTACATTTACATGTGTTCTCTTTTTCAAAATGTTAATTTAATTACTTTGTTGTAGTTGGAGGGATGGTTGTCATCATTACCTTAAGGTCAAAATGAAATTAGAGGATTTGTAGGGATCAGGCAGTAATTAAGTTAATTGATTATTATTACACTTCCTTGTTCAGAAATTGGAATCGGATTATGAAGAAATTATCGTTTCCTCTCTCTCGGAATTACGATTCCTTCTTCTTTTTTATGTTTGTTTCTTTTTTCTTTTCCTCTCTTTCCAATTCCGATTCTACTTTTCCAATTCTTTTTGGCCATCTATAATTAGTTTCCTTATTTGGGGTTTCCTTGAACCGACCGGGTACGGTTCCTGAACGAAAATAGGAAAAAGAATCTCTAACCCTATATATAAACGTTTGAAATGAGATGATTAGCAACCTGTTTTGTTCTTTATTTTCCCCCATCCTATTTCAATAAATCAGCAAAAAAAAATAAAAAAATCCGACAATCATGATCAATCAGGGAACCAGTCGACCGGCCGGATGCAGTAGTCTACCAGATGATGGATCTATTAAGTACACAGGGACTCCCTGGGATCCAGAAGCTATGGAAGAGTCGGTTACTGGTCGTCCTATTGTTCTTGTTCCTCTTGAGGAAGCACTGAAGAACTTACCTCCTTACGTAACAGCTAATCGGCCGTGGCCCGGCACAGCTGTGAGCTGACGCCCATCCGAGGATTATTATCCTCACCTTGTTCATGGTGGCAAGGTAATCAGACATCCTATCCCTCCTAACCCTTCCCGCCCCGTATATCCGCTGTTTCCGGAAGACACGGGACGCACCCTTTTAGGCATTGTTCTTAGAGATCGGGTTTTGCTAGCTGTTAATCATTCAAAACCAGGATCGTTCCAAGGGGCTGTTGTTACTCCTCTCGGCCCTTGCTTGATTGCCGCTATTTCGGGAGGAGAGGATCAGGACTACAAAATGTTGTTGTGACATCTACAGGCCATATGCAGTGACTTCACACGCGCCAGCGGAGGAGGAGGAATTTCGGTCGAAGAGGCTTTGCAATTTATGACTCACACACTGTATTCTCGCGAAGAGGTGGGTCTGATCGCGGGGTGGGATGACACGATAGACGGTCCTGTATTGTACCGGATGGACGGTATGCAGGGAGTGATCAAAGGAGAGATATTAGCTACCGGATTAGGGTTTAGACGGCTTTATGGTTTGTTGGACTTGCGGAGTTTGATAGGTTCGAGAAAACATTTTCCAGGTAATTCGCCGTCTTGGCTGGACAACGTCCTTGACGACCTGTCTCAGTATGAAAAGTATAGGGCTTGGTCTGTTTGGGGTGTTGATGAAGCCACAAAGATGGCCATGAAAGCCATATCCTACAAATGCCACTAGTGACTGGAATGGAAGAGATTTCGCAAGCGTCTTCTATGTGGGGAGTCATGGGGTGGAACTTGTCCATCGTGACAATCCAGTAAAGGATGTCTTTCGGAGTTTTGGGATGTTTATCCCTCAGATCGGGAGCGTCCTGTTTTACGACCTGAAGAGGTAGCTGATGATACCTCCAGGCTTCATTTGTTGTAATTAGTTGTTATGACTCATGAGGAGTAGTAAATTTATCGAAGTATATATAGAGATAGGGTTCTACAATTATGAGAAGGTTTTGAATGATGTAGGCTTTCTTCTTATATAAATGCTAGCTTGTGATTTTTATATATAGACGGTTCTCAAACTCATTTGTGATTTCTACTTTCTCCAGTGTTTTTTTTTTTTTTCCTTAGCTTTCAATTCAGAAACCGAAGTTCGTTGCCTTGTTGTGCGTCTTGGATTAATCATGAAAAACTGCTTTTCTCTGAAGTCTGGACTGACGAGTTCACAGTCGTACCTACCTCTTCTGTAGACAAAAGGCAATATACACTACACATGATTGAATGGTTTTAACATTTGCTTCTTTTTTTGGTACAAGAAAAAAATGAGAAATTAGATTAACACTTTTTCTTTCTTTTCTTTTCTGGTCGATGAATTAGAGAGGTTCTATTTGTCACATACGCAGGGTTCAACTTATTAATATGATAACTTCGTTTCGGCACTTTTTCTCAATTAAACTAACCTCATTTACAAATGGGATCGGATCAGACCTTCCTGTTTTGCCGATTTGTTTTAGTTTGCCAAATCTTTGTATCATAGGATGTGTGCATTTTCATGGCTCGAAATTTCAAATCCCTTTATTAAAAAAATGCTGGAATGTGGTACATACACATATTCAGGAAAATATATATATCTTACTATATTAGAAACAAAAACCACACTTAAGAGAAAGTACCACTATTTGCCATGTGGCATTTCCACATCATATTTTTAAAATAAATTTTTATTTACACATCTCCTAGACTTAAAAGGCAAATGCAGTCTAAATCCACCTCTACCTTCTATTCTGGCCAAAACCAAAAAAAAAAAAAAAAAAAAAAAAATCACGGGTTCATAAAAAATCCAAATCCTCATCCCCATCCCCATCTCCACGACAATTGACTTCCTAATCAATCCCTTCTTCACAATAAAAAAAAAAACAAATTTCTCATCAATTATCAATTGAGAATATGTGGTGAAATATACTCCTTTCCTATTAGCATGTTCAATTTTTTCATTAGTGATGATCAACTACATCCTAATCGGATAAAATTTTGACTTAAAAAAATATTCTGTTTGCCTCTCCTTATAAACACAAAGGAAAAAAAAAATTCTCATTGATCTTGCTTTGGCCGTTGTGGTGGTGCCATTACAGGTATTAAAATTTAAATGATTTTATTCCCACAGATTATTTGTTTGGCTTTTATTATTTTTTGTTTTTCCCGTTCAAGAATAGTGTTATCACTATTATTTTTACGCGTCCATCCATTACAGCTACCATAGCCGTTGTCAGGCAATATGATGTGATTTCTCATATGGTTAGTTAGCTTAGAATTTTTGTATAATTTTAGTTCTGTTTGGATTGAATTGATTAATTAGGTTTTTGTTACAAAGTGTGGTTTTTTAAATTTCTTTTTTATGTTTCATTCAATTAGGTGGTTTTCTTTTTTTAATTATGGAGTCTCAATTTTTTTTTCGTATATGGTCAGTTATGAAGTATGTTTTTTCTTTGTTTAATTGCTTTTGATTTTGTTTCATACTCCCAGTTGACCAATTATTATTATTATTATTTTATTTTATTTGCAAACGAAGCGCGTTATTTTTTTTTTTTTTTGTGTTCGGGCTTTTAATAATATATTTTTTTGGATTTGATTTTTGGACTTTTTTTAGTTCCTCATCATATAAATAGTTCAGGCCGCTTCTTCTAACTAATTTATGGGGAAGCCTTTTATGAAATTGAGGTGGAGAGTGAAGGAATGATGTTTCTACATTTATTTGTGTTTTTATGCATCATTTTTACCTACAGAAAAAATAAATTTCTCAATTTTTAATGGACTATCTTTTACTTTCTTTTTTTTTTATTTGCCATAGTGAGGTGAGTTCTTTTTTGTTATACCTTGAAACCTATGTAAATTTACATTATTTTCATTCTCATATTTGTGATCAACCAGTTTCAACAATTAACCAGTTTCAAAATCATATTTTTGATATTTTACTACCTATAAACTTTTGGAAGAAATAGTTCTAACAATTAAGGGTATACCCTTTGGAGGAAACTTACTACAAAGCTATTATAAATCTCCAAAACTAAGTATTGATATGGCACAACCAATAGAGAACATCAATAAATCATCTTACTAATCTTTAAACTTACTAGGATGCTTTTATATTTTGTCTAGCATTTATTTCAAAACATATATTTGATCAAGTTTATTTATATCTAAGAAGTAACACTTATAAAATATTTCTAAAATCTTCAAACATTTCTAAAACGTACCGGGCCAAATAAATTTTTTTTTATGCCAAATACAAACATTTCTATGATCACACTTATAAAAAATTTCTAAATTCTTCAAACATTTCTAAAATATATCTTGCCAAATACAAAATATTTTTTTTTTAGATACAAACATTTCTAAGATTTACAGATATATTGGGCCAGGGTCGCGCAAGACATCACTAATAATATATATATATATATATCCTACTATATTAGAAACAAAAACATCCCTTTCAAACACCTCATATGATTGCCACGTGGCATGTAGAAAGTACTAAATTGCCCTTTTGTCTAACCATAACTAAATTACTAAATTTCCCTTTGCACTTTACGTGACACGTTTTTTTTTATTTTATTTTTTCTTTATGTTTCATTCAACTAGAGTGGTTTTTTAAATTGAATTGATCAATTAGGTTTTTGTTACAAAGTGCCAACTTTGTTTTAAGCGTATACCCTTCGGATGAAGCTTATTACAAAACTATTAAAAATCACCAAAACTAAGTATTGATTTGGCACGACCAATGGAGAACATCAATAAATCATCTTACTAATATTTAAATTTATTAGGATGCTTTTATATTTTATCTAACATTTACTTCAACACATTTATTCGATTAAGGCTATTTATATTTAATAAGTAACACTTATAAAACATTTCTAAAACATACATGGCGAAATACAATTTCTTTTTTTTTTGTGTGAAATACAAATATTTCTATGATCGCACTTATAAAACATTTCTAAATCCTTCAAACATTTCTAAAATAGATCGCTACAAATACAAAATTTTATTTTTTTCAAATATAAATATTTCTAAGATCTACAGATAGACTGGGTCAGGGTCGCGCATTGCGCGACCAGACATCACTAGTATATATATATATGGAAGTGGATTCTTGTAAGTCGGTCTTTTGCAACACCATCTTGTGTGCAAAAATAAATAAGAATAATAATACAGTAATAAAATAAAAGAGCTAAAAAGTGGGGAAAAAAAGTAAGAATAAATCGCGCCAGGTAGGGATCGAACCTACGACTTTCTGCTTAGGAAACAGACGCTCTATCCGCTGAGCTACAGGCGCTTGTTGTAAATATATAACTTATTTTTTATTAAACTTTCTTCCCAAACACCAGCCATTTAACCACAAAATCCCCAGCACTAGATCGCACGTCTCTACTATTCTGAAGCCCAAAGGAAAATTTGCATCTTGAAGCTCAAAAACGAATCGGAGATCTTGCAAGAAAGAAACAAACAATAACCTCAACTTCCTACACAACTTGACTTACAACTTGATACACAATAGAGCATATAGTTACACAGTCCCAAAACAAGGCAATCATTTTGAGACGGAGGAAGCATTTTTGAATCTAACAAGCACATTCAGTTCATCATGTTCACTCCATTTATTCTTGATCCGCGAATTCAAAATGTCAGAAAACGAAGAATTAAAAAGACCGTCACATAGCCACGCCAGAGTTGGATTTGGACGAAGCATTACAATGATTAAACCCAAACCAAACTCCATTAGGCAGAAATGTATTGTAATTAAAGGTAAGTGTCCTCCGATCAGGCCCCGTAACTTTGACACTTTCCGGCATCCACCCATCGGATCCGACCCTCAGCAAGTAGATGTAGCAGATGTCGTAGGTACATGGTCCCTGAATCTGGAATGTATCACTGGAACACCTCTCAAACGTCCTGGAAGATGGATCATCTAATCTTGGTGCATACACCTGCCCAAGCCCAACCCACCAAATCATTCTCACAAATCATTGAAGAAATCTAAACCCAATAGTTATTGGGTCTTTGGGTTTTGATTGATGGAACAATAAATTGATAGTTAAAAAAAAAAAAAAAAAGCTGACCTCATTGCCATAGGAATCACCAAAGGCAAGGCTGACTCTGTCCCTTGTGTAAGATGAAGATGAGCAGCTGGTCCTGATGGAGACAGAATATGAACAGCTTCTGGCCCTTGCATCGGCCTGGTTGAACTCAATCCAAGTGATAATGTAAAACAAATAGTTCAAATTTCAGATGAAACAGTGCATAGGAAACAATTCAGCAAAGGGGTCTCTGGAATCATTGAAATTTTACCTGTACTGGTTTGATCTTGAAGGACTTCAGTACTTGAGGCTCTGTGGGTTGAAGAACAAGAACAGATCTTGCAGCTTGAGAGAAAGAGTTTCCAAGGAACAAGGCGAAGAGAAGAAGAAGGAAGGACGAAATTTGTTTGACCATTTTCGCAGATTAGGCTAACAAAGTCTCTTGGCTGGCAGCATCTCTCTGTTAAAAATATCAGAGTCCATTTATGATCAATTTTTTAACCATTTAAATTATTTTCACTGCCAGTCTGGTTTTTTATTTTGGTTAGTTCATCATAATCACCCTCAAGCCCAGCTAACCACTACCATTTCTAGAGTTTTTATAGGATGCCTTTTATGGATTCAATTCTTGTTGATAAAGCATCAAAAGTAATTGATGCCTTCGTTAAAGTTATTGACTTGTGGTAAATTTAGGAAGACAATCTTGTCAACTTCCGTTGCTGCCCAGAAGTAGGTTTTGATTTTTTGAGTTATTATGCACCCAATTCTGTCAGGCGCTTGGGAATATAAAAATGGCTCTGCTCCACAACGCAAGAGACAAATAACGTATACAGGTTATCAGATTCCATGTGACAGAAATTGCAAATTTTGGACTTTGCAGATGAAGAAATTAACTTTGGTAAACTCTGTAATCAGTTCTACCATTCCTCCTACATTCTGAAAACAGTAATAAATACAAACACCCCATCCCCTAGAGCAGGGGCTTACTTCTTACTAATAGAGTAATCTGGACATTCCATCTGTACAAGAAATGAGATCTGAGAAATGCAAACTGCAAAGTAATGCAAATTTGAGATGAGATTACTCTCAAGGACTGGTTGCTGTGAAATTCCCTGTCGATTCCAGTTCTTGTGATATAAAACTTTCTGCCTTTAACTGAATAAAACCCCCCAAGAGATGCCAGCAAAGACAACAAGAACACACATGAAATAAACATTAGCAGAGCCGATCACCTTCCCCATATCCATTCATGATACGAGAGTGTTGCTGCTTTCAATCTGAGTCTTCTTTACTATTGTATGACAAGACTCTTCACTCCTAAAACAGAATACATATATAGCATTGCCCCTTCATCATAGACAATAATGATCCATCAGGCTGCTTGTGTTCAAAATTTTCACTTCCATTTTCAAATGCACAAACATGAATAATATACAAATTCCAGCTAAGAGAACAATGCCCATTAAGCCATTATCATGCATGATGATTTGCTGAAGAAAGGGTGAACAGGCATGCATAATGAGAGCAGGATGAAGTTCAGTATATTAAGAGAAGAGTGAATTGTATGGTATATTACAATGATAGCTTTTTACTGTGAAATGTACAACTTATGGCATCATGACAATATCAAGCGGAGAATTTCCCCTGAGAATTTGAATGACTTCTCAGTTTCTTCAAGACAGTGGTTTTTCTCCTCTCTCGTCCAACTCTGAAGAACAACAGCGTAAATTGTATTAGAGTGAGGATATATTGCACCAAATATACATCTTGCAAACTACCAAATTTCAGCAAACCCAGAAACAATAACTGAAGAAGTTTCTTTCAAACAAAGAGAGTGAAGGGAATTACTTCAGCAACTTTATTAAGCTTGTCCCTCACATTTTGCAAGAGTTGTGAAAGATCACCATCCCATTTGTAGAATTCCAACTCCTTCTTGTCAATTAGCTTTTCAGCTACCTGGGCAGGAAGGAAGATGTTAGAATATTCAGCAGCGTACACAAGTCCATTTTATTGTTGCCAATAATAAACTGCTGGCCATATCCCACTTAGCAATTTCAACTTTCTCTTTTTTCCTTAGACATATGTGCCTCTAGATAGGTGTCCAGAAACAGTAAACCACAGCTACTCCCAAAATTTTCAAGTTTAACAAATTTATTAAGACAACCATAACCAGTTTTCTTTGAGAAAAGTAGTTGCCTTTTTCAATTAAGGGGGATGATGCTTTTAATCAACAACAAAATTTTCCCACAATTCGCTTGTCATTTTTCGACTGAATATCCAAACGAATTTACTATAGCACAGATCAGTGCTACGACTGGATGGTACAGATTCTTATTTCACACTTCATAACCATGGCAGCTGCTTTTCTACCAGGGAACATCTAAATTGCTGACAAAAGGAAACATCATCATATGATGCAGCTACAAGGTCCAATAATAATTGAAGATCCCAAATGGGAACTATACTTTCGAAGTGTCTTCTAACAAATTCGAACGGCGGATCATTTTATTTTTGTGTTTATCCTATTGATATAACCATAATATTTTTTTGGACAAAAAGAAAGAAAATTTGGGAAGCTCAAAAGGATTGCATTCAATAACTAACCTTCTTTCCTATCATCCGCCCACCTGCTGAATGGGCAAAGTATATGTTGTAGAAGTGACAAATAAATGCTTGAGGATCTTTTCCTGACAACTCTTCCAAATACTGAGCATAGCTAACCCCAGGTGCGGATGGTTCTGGGATGGCGTGACCTTGTTCCTTGAACCATTCCAAATCTTTTGCAAGTCTTTCCGACCTTTCCAATCCAGTATTCCTGAACTCTGCATCTGGATGGAAAAGAAAAAACAATTTTTTAATAGTTTAATCTTGATTCTGTGAACTATTAGGCTACGATTCAAACAATAAATCAGGGCAAAGCCATAGAAATTCTTACTAGTGAACACAAATTCCCCATGGCAAGATGTTACAAACCTAGTACTATGTTGAAAATATATTGGCAGACAATACTCGAACTAGAAAGCAGAATGCAAGATAGGTATCCATGTCAGAGCACATCGGAATTAACACAGACTAACAACCTGAAGAACCAAATACGCATTCAAGCCAAGAACATATTACAATCAACCACCAATCATAGCTTCCATAACAGAAAAATTAAAATTAATAAGCCCAAAAAAAATGTAAATTTGGAGGAAACTTACATTCGGGAAAAGTGGGGTTCTCCACAATCTTCTCCAATGTATCATAAACTAATTTGCTATCCACCAAAAACTTCAAGTACCCATCAATACTGGGTTCCCATTTAGCAACAGGCTGCCCTTGTGGCTCCTTCTCACCCTCTTTAGCTTGATCCCTAGTGTGCAACTTCATAGCCACAAACCTCATCTCCTCCACAAACCCCTTCGCCTCACCCGGATACCTTTTCTTCTGCTTCTCAGCAGTACTACTACTAGCAGACGCACTAGCGGAAGCCACCAAAACCATCCTCGATCTTTGGATCAAAACTCTCGAACTTTGTGAAAAATCCCAGGTGGGATTCACCAAAGATTGAAGCTTTGTCGCTTTAAGCACTCCAAACCCAGGTGCCTTACAGATGGGTTTCGCTTGTGAAATTGGTGTTATAGAAGCCATGGATTTTTATAGTAGTGGATTACGACGGATTAAGTTTCTTCTCGCTTGCTGAGTTGGAACAAGGGATTGAGTGAATTATTGAGGAGGTGAAGAAGAAGAAGAAGAAGAAATACTAATTAATAACGTTCAGGATAGAATTGCTTTTTTTCCCTGAGTTAGGCTGAAGTAATCTTGAAGCTAATCTATATATATTATATGTAATAAAATATATATATAGTACAGTAGAGGGATTGATTGATATTTGATAGTGTGGAATTTACGGAAAGTTTTCTGATTATTTTTTTGGGGAAGAATGTATGCAAATTGCTGTTCTTTGTGGATTATTTAAATGCAAGAAGAAGAAGAGATGGTATAGGGATGGTGCTGGGGCTTTTCAATTTTTTTCAAGGATATGGGGAACAAGTTTTTTTGGATTTTCCGTATGAGGGAAGAAAATAAAATGTTTCGTGACGGAATTGTGGTTTATTTTACAAGGTAAACGGTGGCGTTTCGATGTGTGGTAGTGGGTGGTTCTTGGGTTTTCGCGGTGTAAACAGTGACGTGGGGGAAATGTAGACTGTGAAGTGCAAGAATACCCGTTTTATTTACTCTTGTGCAATTTGTAATATTTCCATTTTAGTATAAACTATATATAGCCTGTGTAATTACGGGCACCCTAATAATTTTTTTGTATGCCCGGTCGACACCATTGACATAAGTAATGATTCAAGACCGTTAACGTTTTTAACAATCTAAATATAAAATTTCATATCTAATTTTAACAGTAATATCGTAAAAATGTTTTGTATATGAACACGATATTTTTAATAATTTATAAACACTCGAATATCATTATTTACTCATCATTCCTTGATATAAGCACTTAAAAGGAAGATTTTATAAATATAAATAACATCCTAAGTCGTGGCAGTGCATATTCAAGCTGTGAAATCAAAGGCTATCCTATTAATTATTTTATGTTCAAGCAGCAAGATTTATAAAACTACTAATAAATAAGTAAGTAAAACAAAAAAAATAATAAAAAATAATAAACTCTTCTGGGAAATGGAGATATTACATGCACATTATGTTGAAAACATTTTTCCTTCCCAACATTTGAATTTCTCACCTGTCTATAATCACGATTAAAGGAAATTTACTCTCTACTAATTAGGCTCAAATTTATAAATGTCAATCTTAAACTTATGTCGTTATTGGCCCATGAACTTTCCCTAGCCAAACCCTTGAGCATGAGCTAACTCACCTTTCTCAACTTGGCGGATTCTCAAAAAAAAGTCTACTTGCAGGTCCATAATCCCCCATCAACCCTTTCACCATCTGATTTTTTTCTGCCTTCTTTGCATTTTTATCCACCAACTAAACATACAGTCACAATGCATAAAAAAAAATTGTCAGACTTAAGAACGACACACTAAAAGAGGCCTTTAAAAAATAATACAACATTGATTTAAATTGAATGCCAAAATCTGGAATATCAAATAGAAACATAGCAAACCAAATGAAAATATCGGATCTTGGACATTTTTAGTTGGCATGCAAGGCAAATCAAGTGTAACCTTATGGCATAGACTCTACTCAAGGCATCCCTCTCATCAAATTCAAACTCACCAATCATTTTGAGTTAATGTAACAGACGGAGTTGCAGCAAAATTCAAATTTTGATTATGTCTAGAATTTATATCTAGCAAAGTTATATGCACGGTTTTCAAATGAGTCATTGACAAATTAGGAAATTCAACCACAAGCAACACATTATAACATCCCTTAGAAGAAAAGAAAAAGGTACCTGAAGTCTTAGATTGATTATAACCATATCAACTAAAGACAACAAACTTCCACTAAACTTTCTTCACCCTATAAATCAAAAGTAATGCAAATTAAGTGAAACTAAACTAAATAGCAGAAAAATTTTATAAGAAAACAGTAAACTATAACCAAATATATTTAATTGCATAATATCTTGACCTTCATCACCTTTTCCAGCTAGAATTTTATAATCAAACACATCAATGTCACTAAATCATAACATTAATTCAGAAAAAGATAACCCTGATACACTAATAGAATCCAAAAATTAAAGATCAATAGAATCACAAAGTTTCTCATATCAAAACTAGCGAGTAAATCTCGTAATCGCATACCTCAAAAATAATAGTATGTGGACAAATATTTTTTGTTGAGCATATGATTCATTACATTATTTCATTCTCTATTACATGCTAAAATAGATAACTTGACTTTACATTATTATGTCCCAAAGTACTATGCACAATGAAAAAACTTCAAACTTTTTCGTACATACAAAAAGGTCATGAAAAAATAAATAAAATTTTACTGAGTATGGCTCAATCAATATTATTTTATAGATTAAGCTAAACAACTCAACATACAAAAGGAAAAATACATTCTTCAAGTAGTAAATTTCAGATTAAATGCATTTGAACCATAGCAGTCTTCAGTTTGCACATTCAAAAAGATTTTTTTGTTTTTTTTTTTTTAAAAAAGAGAGGATAGCCGGTTTAATTTATTTGTAAAGAGAAAAGCCAAGGAAATTTCTTTTTTAACTATGAACCCAGACAGAGAATAAAGGAAATTGAAGATGCATGCTAAAATGGAGGGGTAAGTAAACTGAATATATTTTGCCAGTCCAATGATCCCCCTATTCTTGCAGAAAAAGATGGTTTATCAGATGGACACTTGTATTTCAAACTAATGAGTATTTTCCTATGGACAAATGTTGTCCATATCTCTCTGCTGATAATCGTCCATACAATGGAGGAGTCAAAGAGTTTACATTTGCAAAACAACACACACAACAAAAACAATTCTAGAATTTTAACTTCATAATCTAGATTAGAGCACGTGATACAACAAAATCAGCATAAACAGAATTCTCTAACATAAATAGCATGACAACAGAATTTAAATGTTTAAGAAATAGAATTCTATCACGTAGGCAAAAAAAACTTTCAAAGTTTAAGAAAAACAACTCAATAATCCTTTCCCAAATATTTTGCGAAGCAATCAAAAGGTATACTTGTTTAGGCTCATCTTCATTTCATCAAAGATAAACTTATTAGTGGAGATAACAAAAGATGAGACTTCTTACCATTTGTTGTTAGGACCTCAAATCAACATATTCAAGCTCTTTGTCAATCTAATTTTCAAATATTGAAGTAAAGCCCCCACAAAATATCAGCTGAAGTCCCTAATTCTGCAAACATCATTACAAACTCGACAGTGGAGGTGTAGAACTAACCATGAGACAGAATGAAGAGAAATTAAAGATTCTTGGAAGTACTACCACAGTTGACCTATTTCAACAATTCAATCAAGCTCATAACTTCCTCCAACTGAACTGCAAAAAAACAAAAATTCAAAAATCACAATGAAAATCTCACGCTTATTAATCTGAAATACCACGCAATAAATTCAATAAAATAATCTGAATATACACCATCTAAAAAAAATAATTGAAGCAAACAATTGTAACTAGAGATAAAATTGAAGGTGAATTGCAAAAAAATCAGGAAGGATGCTCAAGAATATTTGTAAGAGACATAAAACCAAATAGATTACTTACGATTGGGCGGACTTCAATCTCGTCAACGGCAATGGCGATGACAAATAGTGGCGCTGGCTATAGGAATTGGATACCTTGACTTGCTTCCTTAATTTATCTACAATGGATGGTTTTTGAGGAATGAGAGAGAAGAAGCCGTGAGGATAAAGAAAAAAAGAAGAAGAAGAAATCTACTTTATATCTTCAAGGTTTTCATGAATACAGTGGATTCATCACCATTTATCTACCCCCCAATATAGATCAAAAACTCATCGTCATCATCGATTCCGGAATTTATTCTCTGATTTTATTCATGAATTTTCAGAATGGGGAGAGGTCGGAGGCGCAGGGGTAGGAAGAAAGAAAGACTTTGTGCGGAAAAAAATGAAATAGAGGCTGACCGATTGAAAATCACCTATACTAATCCCAGAAAATATTGTAAATTGTATGAGGATTGCAGATTCCATTTTGAGCGCATGCTGGAAAAGTGTAGAATAAAGTTCATTTGGGCGGTGCATAATGAAAAGTAGAGCTTCTCAAATTCTTTCATCATTATGCCCAAGTATCGCAACCAAAGAGGCTATCGCGTTTCTGGCTTATTTGAATCTTCTGCCACCAGCATGCCCTCTAGAAAGGTTAATTTGCTTCTAGTTTTAAGTATTTCCGGAGGGAAGAAGAGAAAGAAAAAGGAGCAAAAATAAATATTAGGTTCACTTGATCAAATTAATTTGAAGGATTTGAATCTGCATTGGAACTTGGATGAGCATATACATTGAATGACGTATAAAGTATAAGCATGTTAACTTCTTTTAGGCGAAGAACAGAGGAGAGGTGGACGGTGCAGTGCCTCAAAAGAAGGTATTTGCTTTAATTTATTATACTGTATTTGATTAATATAGAAAATGCCATGGACAAAACGAATTGGCTTGTATGTACACGGTGGGTCAGCTTGCCCACAAAACTTACTACCGAAACATGACATACGGAAAATAACAATAAAACAAAATTGAAAAAACCCAGAAAATGACAAATGGAATGTGAGGCATTTTGACGGGATTTGGAATAACCTGGTGAAGACACGTGGACTGAGGGAGGGTGAATAGATGGGAAAACCTGATTCAGAAGTTTCTGTTTTAGTAGATAGAATGATTGAACTAAAGATGAAAAATCAGAGAAAATATGAATTCACTGAAATTCTGTCAACACACCTAATTAGTAATACTTCCGAAAAATGCTTTACTTTCTTGTCCTCGTATCGCTCATAGTTTTAGCAATGGATGAGATGAAGCAAATTTAGGAAATAGTTGTATGGTGTGATTACACCGAATTTTATCAATTATAAGAAATGTATATAGCGCACTGGTTCTTATAGCAAGGAGTACCAAACGTATCATATTCGTTAAGAATAAGGACCATTTTTGGAAAGACTTAAGACAAACAAGAACGCTTCTCTGCAGTAAGATCAAAGTTAAAGGCTTAAATCTCTAATTTTGTGTTTCTGATAATAATTCTATTGATTTTTATCATTATTGTTATTGGTGTTGCCTTAAGTTTAGAAAATTGCCGACTGAAAATGATGATGTCTTTGTATCTTTCTGGCTTATATTCTCAATTTTTTTATGCCAATCTCATTTTTACTATGTGGAGTTTTGGATCTAGTATAATGAAAGAAACTAAGTGGTGATTAAACCAAAGCCTAGTGGTAACGTAATATGCCACAACAAAAATCAATTTCATAGTTTTCTTCTATCTTTTTGATAAGTTATCTAAGAAGAATAACAGTTGGTTCAATAATTACAAATTAGCTCCCTATACGTAATCTTACTTCGCGAAACAACACTAGACACATACAAAAATCATAAATTGACAATTTATTTTTATGATTTCATTAAGACTTTTCAATAGTGGTTATCTTTGTGACGTCAAAAAGTGATTATCAAACTGACCAATGGCCTCGAAACCCCTCTTCTATAAAGGCTTGAGCAACAATATGCTTTATTTTAGAAAGTCTTCCCGCTCGCTTTCTATATAAATTAAGCACAAAAAAACACAAACTACAGATGGATTATTCACACATTAATTGACATCTAACTCAAAACTGATCAAAATTTTTCAATTGATTTTTGAGCAAACTTTTCTAATCTCTCCTTGAGTACCAGTCTTGACCTCAATGCTGCTCATTTTGATCATTGCTTTAGGGAAATGATAATCAAATCTTAGCCCAAGTAATCCCCTAATGTTTCCTGCATATTTATCGACAATTTTACGCGTAGCAGGATCACCCCACAGCCTCTGATCAGACTCAAGAATCCCATTCCCGTCTCTTACATTCTTGAAGAAACTCACATCAAAATCGAACTGACTGTCTTTGTCCAAAGCCACCCTTTTTGAGCCATCACCATTGATCGGACAGAGTGTTTGCAATTGTACAAGGAATCCCTGATTCAGACTTGGATCTGGCGTCCCTGTGATTGTGTAGTTGTATAGTCTGTACCTGAAGAACAAGCAATCCGTTTGGCCTATAGTGTGTGCCCCTGCACACATTAAAGTTAAATACCCTTTGTTAGTGATCATTTTTTGTCCATTTGTGCATATGCCGTAAAGAGTAATGATAATGAACATGAGTCAGGAACCGGATGATTTGACATGAACAAAAAGGCGTAACGTGCGTTTAGTACTTTGTTTTTTCTTTATCTAAGTTACATCATTCACTATATGGTTTCGGTCTATTTCGGCTCCTTGTTGGATCTACAAAAGTGGGAAAATGTTTTGAATGGGGAGAATTCTTACCAACAAGAGTAACAAGATCATGGTCATCTAGGCCTTTGGCTGCAAACTTTTGCCTCTGGACAGCAACAGTGTCCAAAGGTGAAGGTAAATTTGAGGCTTCAGAAGCTAAAGAAATCCTTCCATCTTTTCTTCCAGTTGGAACTCCCCAGCTTGGACCACCACTCTGAACATCAATGGAAAGAAAAAGCTTAAGAAATAATCTACACAAAGTTATGGCTATTTTCATCAGTTAAGTGTAATTTACTAATTTGTTCTGAACTGACCAATTTTGGTTTAGTAGTATGATTACCAGGTCTACAGCATCACGAGCAGCTAATGCAAGTATATCAGCACAGGAGACAACTCCAGGGCATGCGGCTTCCAGTTGGTTTTTGGCATCCTTGATTACGTCGAACCCGAAGAGTCCCAAATTAGGCAATGCAGTTCTTTCAGAAGAAGTTCCCGAGATCAAAATCGAACCATCACAGCCCTGATCAAAAATTCACATATAATATTACAATTATCCAATCCAAAAATCGATTGACATAACAAAATCTTACTAACTAATCTTTTAGTAAATGGACGCGCGACAGAATTTATAACATTCGTTACACTTTTTAAGTGTGACATGAACAAATTATTGAACTATATGATATTCCTTTAGAGATGAAAAAAATTCAGAAACCTGAACAAAGCAGTCATGGAAATGAAGCCTGAGTACGCCGGCAGCAATAGTAGGATCTTTGTCATAATAAGCTTCCATAGTCGACCTGACAATGGACTCGGCATCCGAGCACGACGAAGAGTAATATCCAGTTCTCAGTCCTCCCTGAGCTGCTACAACATTGTTCATCATCAATATAAAGATCAAAACAACGAAAAACAAAAACAAATCCTCCATTTCCTGTCCTGATAAATTATAAAACGAAGTCGAACCAAGTTATATATTTATAGGCAAAAATCTCAGAGTTCCAGTCATCACCTACTACTAATTTCTTTTTGTTTTTTTTGGTCAGTGTAGCTATCAGATAGTGGAGATTTACGTGTGACATAGATTATTGGTTCCCCCAGCACCTAAAGAGGGTGCTCGTTTATTTCATCTTTTTAAGACTAATTTTAGTGCAAACTTTTTTCATGGTTTAGTGGACAAAAACTGGGCAGAGCAAATCCGTTGAAGATGTCATGAAGTATAATGAATGGATGGACCTAGCAGAATTTGACGCGTTGGACCTTTCTTTAGCCATTATTGGGGTCATTTCGTTTTTTTGATTTGTTTCCCCATTTTTTTTCCCATAATGTTCCCATTAACTTTTTCCCCTGTTCTGTACTTCTGTTCTTTTGCTCTGTTTTTTTAAATTAGTTTCATGTTACTAGTGATTGAATAATGCAAGTACCTAATGTAGCAACAAAATTTAAGCCCACATTTTGGCTTAATGAAAGATTAAATGGCTGCTGGCTGGCATGCATCCATTCACACACAATGTGGTCGGCTTTTGTTTATCGTTTTGGAACAGTTCAGTACACTATAATCAGTAATGGCTACAGAAATTGGAATCCAAGAAAACGTTTGGGCAATGGTGCCACCTTCAAATCTAGGGTTAAAGTGATCAACAAGTTTAATCTCTCTTTGGTATGAGTTTGAAGTTAATTTATGGCACTGTAGAAGAAGACTATCGATGGCTTATTCCTTCAATTAAATGACATATGAAGTGTTTAAGATTTCTTGAAACCCGTGAGGAAAAGTTGTACCGAAACCCCCTGTTTCTTGCAAATCCTTTCAATTGATTCATTGACAACACATTACTTGAGTTTTTTTTTCTTGTTTGGACCGTTTGGTGATGTTCATTAAAAAAATTAAAAAAAAAAAAGCTGTATTTTGTCTGGTGGTGTTTTGGCTGTCGGTTTTCTCCATTTGTAACGAAAAGTGTATTCGTACGAGTAAATGGAACTAATTGATTCATTACGACAATTGTACTGTTTGATCTAAAGGGAAGCAACCTTACATTTGTAAACATCATATAGTATTAGTACTACATCATGCGCATTGTTTTTATGTAATACAATAAAATAATGATTGACCACAGTGAAGCAGAAAGGCATCATGGTTGAATTCTTTCACCATGTTTCTGTCGCTTTATATGTTAAAAATCTATGAGAGAAACAAACAACTTGGTTCAATCTATTCAAGTTTCTCCTTTGATCAAACAATGAATCTTTGTTAGTCGACAATGAGATAGAAACCATTTTTGAACATTTGCAACTTTAATTCATACATTTCCGGTGAAGGCACAAGAAGAAGATGGTGATTGATGATAATGATAATGATCCAGATTGAGTTTATGCAGAAGGAGATGACAGAAATGTTTGATGCAAAGGAAGTCACGAATTTGAAAGCAACAAATCAGTTCAAATAATTTCAAACTTTCCGTTGATGTAACACAGATGGTCTGCAGAATCTCTCAGCTTAACAGCATACTTATACCTTTTATTCCTCTGCTTTTCAGTTGATGCTTCCCACCAACCCCCAACACACCCCCAATACCATGCTTCCTTTATTAGCCTGTTCAATTCTAACACGTACTCTTGCTCTCACCATAATCTAGTAAAATTCTCTGCACCAAGACGGCAAGACCCATGAGCAAAATAATGACTTCAATCAATCCCTTGGGCCTATTATATAAATATACAGTTCAATGAAAATGATTCCAGGGTTGCACAGCTACATACAATAAGTAATGAGTGCAAAATTGACATTGTAAAATTATCATTTGATCATCCAAAAGATCTTTAGTGCCTATCATATGTATTTTACATCTGTGTTAGTGACTAATACAACATGCATAACAGATGCATGACGTGCAAAAAGAGTAAAAATTGTTATGAAAAGTAACAGCATACAGAGGAAACAGGTGATCCTAACTATTTTGCAACTTGCTCTAGAATGGGAACCTTATTCCATTGCTCCTCAATTCCACCGCTCTGCAGTGGAGGCAAAGAAAATACGCTAACTGTGGAACTCCCGCTTCGGATTTCCTTCAAAACCCTTAAAGCTGATAAAGTGCTCTTCACATACAAGCTCTCCATGTACTCTATCTCTACAAGTTCCTTCGGGCCTCGGAGCAATCTCTCATCCTTTGTGGTGGCAGTGGATGAAGGTTCATTCTCTTCAGCTGTCTCAGTTACAGAGGTATCAATGACAGGAAAGAGATTATCAAGCATTCTCTCACACTCTTTCACAAGCTTGTACAGCAAGTCAGTGGTGAAGAAGGGTTGTTGCAAAACCTTCTGAATGAAGGGCAAGCGGAGGAGGGCACCAGTTCTTTTGTCATACTTCTTTAATATCTTCACCAAACCTGTTTAATAGTTAAACCATATATAAAAGCATTCAGTACCAAAAGCTAAAATCTTGGTTCTTACAAAGGCTATACTAAGTAGAGCAGCAAAATCATAGAGTAGCATAATTCTCGTCATAAAGACAGGTATTTGATGTGATCCAAAAAATTCTTAGTAGAAATATACAGAATATATTACCACAAAAAGACATCACAATTCAACTCAATGAAGAAAAGAAATACCTGTATAATTAAGAGCACTGTAGTTTTCCAATAAAACCATCTCCCCATGTAAGTCAACAATTTCCTTTCGTATCTTTATCATCTCATCACTTGAGTACTTGGCCTTTGCCACTCTATCTTGTAGCTCCTGTAAGGAAGATGTCAAGTGGTGTTAAAAGTAATACACAAAAAGCGTTTAAAAGTTCAATATGGCACTAAAGTCTACAACCCACTTTCTTATCATTGTGTCCTTTGCGGACTTGAATTGGTTTGAGAATGGAATGGGTTCATATTCTGAGGATTTGACAAGCTAAAGAGAGTAAACCATTAAATTTTGAGAATCTTATCCATTGCCTTTATTTTTTAAGTTGTGATGACAGGTTTTACTTGAAATGACATAGGCAAGCACATTAATCCACCCAAAGAAGGCCACTTTGTACGCCACTCTACTTCTCAGGTTCAAAACCTCAGAAAAGACTACTGCAGAAATAAATCTTCCTAATGAATACAAGATGCTCTTTTGGGGGAAAAAAGAAAAAGAAAAGAAAAAACGGTAACACTAATGTTGTCTATCCAGTCAGACAAAGCTCCCAAGCCAAGCAAATAACACGTGTGGAGCTAAAACAAATACAATAATGAACATACTCTGTTAGGAGTAAATTTCACGACAACTTCAACATCTTCAGGAATGAAATTAAATTTCACTTAACGTAAAAGCAAATGCTTGAACTTGCCCTAACTCCTCTAGAAAATGAACCAACACACCCACCACAATTTCATCATCTTTTGTATTATATTCAGTATTCAACCAGCAAGCACAAACCAACCTACATAGTGACAACTGCTTGTTGGAGAAGGCCAGTACCAAACTAAGGAAAAAGCAGCTTATGCACACTCCCCATATATGAATAAGAAATCATTGGCACCGTTCCCTTTACAGGAGACATACTATTGCAGAAGAAATTTTGAAACAAATTACCCTGTTGTGGTAATAATTCATGCATACATGCAGTCCAACATGTAATTCACACCTTAAGGAACAGATGGTATAATTTTAGTCTCTTTGTAGGAAAACAAGGTACTTATTAAGATCTATCATGTCCCTATCTCTTGTCAGTTTGTGGAAATAAGGACTGATTATAGCATATGACAGGAAGAAAGAACATTAACCTGGGTAATTTAACCAGACCACAGAAGCGTCTTGTACTACATCTACCCATAAGTCCATACCAAGTTGACATTGCATCCAGATTAACACAATATGGGTTGATTCATCATTATAAAGACTAAACATGTAGAATTACAGTTTTCACCAGGGCAAACCGTGCAATATCTGCAATCTCAATTAAAATGGCATGGTTCCATTCTACCAATCCACCCAAAGAAATTGGTGCCCTAACTGAGTAATAATAAACAAGAAAATATTTCAAAGATCAGAGATTGGGTTTCCTTACCTTTAACCTGATGATATACTCCTCTTCCTGCTCCACAAAGAAGGAATTGAACTTCTCCAGCTCATCTTCCAACAGCTTCACAAAATCAATCTCTGCCTCCGTCATCTTCTCACCAACGGCGGCGGCAGAATCCAGCCGAGGTTTCTTACTCGCCCGAGCCAGAGCCACGTCATCATTCTCCTCCTCCGCCGCCGCCGCCGCCGGATTACTCTTCTTGGGCTCAACAAGCTTGAGCCGTTTCTTCAACTCCTTGTAGGACAAAAACTTGTCCCTCCATTCCGGTAACGTCTCCTCGATCTGGTTGCTCAAACTCTTGCCAAACTTCATAATTCTTTTTGTTTGTTCACCGGTTCTTCCTCAGATTGATCACGAAAACGCCAATCGCCGATCGGAACAAGGAGGAATTCGGGAGTAATGCAAACGGAATTGTGGGAATCTGCGGGGAAAATGTGAAGGGAAATAATAAAGGGAGAATGAGGCGCATGGAAGGAGGAAGATAATTATAGGAAAGGGGAAGGGAGAGGAGAGAGAATATGTTTAGGAATATTCTCTTGAAGATGGATATCGCAAAAGCGGATATCTCTGGTTTTATTCCCTTCTTCGACTCAGAGAGAAGATCGGTGCCTTTTTTTAAAAAAATAAATAATAAGAGAAATATATTTTGTATTTAATTATACCGTGACACGTGGGTTAACGGTAGAGTGACGTTGACGATTGGAAGGAAAGTCCAGTTAGTATGGAAGGAAACTGTGGACACTGTAGAGAGAGTCTGTGGACTGTGGAGATGATTGCAAAGTGGGGTCTATAATATTTTGATTTTGCTTTTCTCCCTCCTTTTTTGGGCTCTTTTTTGTAATTGTGATAATAATGTCAAGTAATAATAATAATAGGGCTTATTGGAACGACCATAATCTTGGATTTATGATGGCTTAGTTTGTTTCACACTTGATTTAGCCTATGAGCTTATTTTTGCATTACTCACTTTGTGGAAGTCTTAGCCCACCTCCCTATTCTAGCGAAAGAGAGCGATTCTAAGACGAAAAATTATTTTGAATTGTAATATAAAAAAACCGCAGAACTTTTTCAGTTCTAGGTTATCTGAAAATGACTGATAAAAATGACATTAGGAATTTTACGTTACGAGTCTCGATAATATTAAGTGATAAGTGTTTATTTAAAGGGTCAAGATGCTTAACTATTACCATTAGATCACCAACTCAACCACTCAATTAAATTGATTATCGAATTTTTCACAATTATTGTTTATCAATTCTTCTGTGGTTTGTTTTGGTTGTGTTGTGCTACTTTTTTCTTCTTTTTTTTTCCTTCCATTTTACTCCGTAATAGTAGTGTGGTGTGGGGACTCGTCAAAACAAAAAGGGGAGGGGAATTAGTAGCTGTGCGACCCTTGTGCAGATTTGGCTCTTCATTTTTAAAAAATATAGAAATTTTGGTCACTAGCTGAACTGATAGAAATGTTGCAATGCAACGATTTCGAACTAAAGTAATAACGAACTCTTACATCCAACTGCCAAAATAGCACCATGATTATAGGAATACTCTATACTAATATACTCTTTCGTCTTAAAAAAATGAATTTTAATGCATCTATGAAATGCATAATGCACCATCAATATTGGTGTTCATGTTTTTTATAACTTTAAACAATTTGCTGAACTCCTACCTAATAACATAAAAATCTTTCTTAACAAAAATCATATCATATTATTTTAGTGTTATATTCGTTGTGCATTAAGGGGCCACTTAGTTAAATTAACATGCATTGTTTTAGCTCCATGAATGCCGAGAAGTGAATTTTGTGGTTAATTATTTAGCTTTTTTAACGGCACAAGATCCCTGAGGTTTGTATCAGTTTGAGGCGCTGCTATCGGGAGTCAAACCGTGGCTAGAGTATAATATCTAAGGAGTAACATTCCCCCAAAATGTAATATGCTAATTAATTTGAAGCGTTAGCATCTTTCAGTGTATAAAAAAAAAAAAAAAAATCACTAACATGCATTATTACGTAAAAGGACTGATAAAGTATTACTATAATATAAAATACAGCCACTAGAGCCAGATTTTGAAGCAAATCTATCCACTGTAATCAATCAATGACAGTATGAGACCAACCTTATCAGTTATCACCAACTTATTTGTAAATTGCTTCTCGTTTATGTCCCAATAGAAAATTTAAAAAAACATAAAAAAAAAGGGACTTTTGGAGTCAAATTTGTTGCATGGCTGCTTTGGATGGAATCCGAAAGGCCAATTTATCAGCGAGCCGACATTGTTATACTTTGTATTGAATCATGCAAAACAATCTTGTTTCAAACATCAACAACTTTTACGTTCGAGAAAATTTCAGAAAATTGTCGCAATGTACGGTTAAAAATTAGAAAAGAAAAAAACGTAATCGCTTCTCCTCTCTCTTTCTCTTTCAAGCAAATTTAAAAATCTCTTCTTCTATTCGTCTTAATTTAATAATTATATTCTATTCGTCTTAGTTTTATAATTATTAGTATTAAAATATATTTTCATATTAATAAACAAAATTGTCGGCTGTCATTAGACCGCAAGCTGGGAAATAAAGAATTCAGATTTCATTGATGTAGTAGTTTATAAAAAAACGAGACTATAATTTTGAGACGATCTTATAAAAAGAAAAAGAAAAAGAAAAAAACATCAAACTGCGTTAGACTCGTGAGTCCTCAGTCACCGGGCACCATCCCAGCATCCCAGGGAGGATTTGGCATAATTCCAGCGCATGTGGAATATCCGCAAGTCTCTATTGCCCAATTCCAACGAAAAGCCGCACTACAATACGTAAAAATTCAACTTGCAAGTTGCAAGAAAACAATAAAGTACGGAATAAATATCGTTTAATTATAAAGCAAGAAATTTCTGGGAATACCAGCAGGAAAGAAAGCTTCCATATTGGACAAAATTATTTGAAGTCTTCGGGTTGGGCACTTACTAGGGCAGCCTTTTCTCATGCACTTTTTTTTTTTTTTTTTTTTTTGTAATAGGTTTCTCTTAGAACAGATGTAAGAAGTAAAACTGGGGATCAAGTCAATATATACTCCCTCCGTCCCATAATTATTGTTCACTTTTACAGATTTTATTTTTGGTCAAATTTAACTATATTTTACCTTAAACAACCGGATATACTCCTACATAAGTAATTGTTTAACCACTAAGATTTTATGGATAATGTTTTTTACTAAGGACAAATGTGTAACTTGATCCATAAAAAGTCAATTTGGACAATAATTTTTGGACAAAATTTTTTGGGCAAAGTGGACAATAATTATGGGACGGAAGGAGTACTTTGTACTTATAATGAAGTCGAAGAAGTAGAAGAAAGTGCCATGTTTATTTATTTATTTTTATTTGTTTGTTTTAGTTAATGTTTTTCTTCATGACTCTGTATTAATTTGGCTTGTTAATCCAATTTTTCAAAATAGAAGATTCGGATCTATAATATGGGATATGCTACATGTGAATGGCATGCTTACAACAGCACACATGTTCTTTGGACAAAATCAAGAAGGAATAAACTCTGTTTTCTTTTGGATATTCCTTTCCCTAGTTCAAATTAAATCACTGCAAGTTCCTTTTGACTCAATAAATTTGGGGATTGAAATTGTTCAAATGTCAAGATTGAACCTTTTTTTTTTCAATATAATTTAATATATAATCACTTTTATCACGTGAATCAAGTATTTGTTAACACATCGTTCTTTCTGTCTAGTAGTATTCCTTTTTGAACCCCACTGTTCCCCCGGCTTTTTGGAACTCAAGGGTTTAGTGAACTCCGCATGAAGGCTCTAGATTTGTTTTTATTTATTTATTTATTTATTTTATTTTTTTGCTCTTTCGAGTCCACACTTGTTCGAATTCTTCCGCCAAAGAAAAAATGTACAAAGATCCTTACACAGTTTGCATATGGTTCCAAAGGTTTTCGTTGAGTTGATTGATAAACTTAATGAAAGGGTAGTTGATTTTTTGAAAATGGTTCACCTTGGGTCATTGTCATTTCTAGCTTTCCTTCAATTTTCCTTCCTTCGTTTGCGATCGATTTTTTTGACCACAATCTCGTTGCATTTTGTTGTCTTCTGTAGGTGTAAACCAATGAACTTGGTAGTTGTTATATATTGAATACGAGGATAATTTGTCATTGCCCTAAGGCAATTTCTTGTGGTCATGATATAAAATCTCACATCAATGGTCAATACTATACATTTTGATTTGGACACTGATCTATAAGATTACATCGGCATTGCCGTGGCCAATTGAAAGATACACCAAACGTTCTGAATTTGTGGCTAACATGTCACATGTGTTTGATAATAACACAATAGTTGTTGATAATATCTAATGTTGCTTCAAATTAGAAACTCGTTATGTAGTTTTTTACTGTATTTTTTCTTAAAGATTATAACCAGGTATTTCGTTTTTCAAGTTTGCAATTCCTACGAACAATTATAGTACAACAAGATTGTAAAACGATAAGAATTTAAGTTTCATCATTGAAGTGAAGTTCTTAGGTTTATATATCTTCTCGATTCACGATTTGCTTCTAATACGATACTTGATGAAGATGAAGTAAGAATATTCTGATTCGTCTTCTATGATTGTCCTCCCCTTACTCTGCCCTATGCTTTTCACCAAAAAAAAAAAAGCGCAAATAAGACTGGTCTTGTCCAGCCCAATTTTGAGGAGAAATTAACACCAACCATTAATAGATCCACAGACAGCTGTTCTTGAAGCCCAAACCCAGTTACTCTACCACAATAATGCTATCTACTCAGCTCTGAATTCAACCGGCCTCTTTCGGTGTTCATCTTTTAAGCAGCCCAAACTCATTATCTGGATTGTTTTTTATACTCAAATTGTTCTTCTTCTTCTTCTTCTTCAGTCCTCCTCCTTATTCTTCATTTATTTTCTTTATAATATAGAAAGTAAATTGTAAATTTGGGCTGCTCATTGTTACGGTTTACTTCTAGTATAAAAGAAAGACGGATTAGGATACTGACGAAATTATGGAGCAAGTAGATGCCGATATGCTAAATTTTTACCAGATTTTTAACAGCATAATATATATTTAGCTATTTTTCACCTACCAAAATATTATAGTGTTAGTATCACTCCCTCTTTCTCCCATTTCTGTCTTCGTGATAAGGAAAAGTTATTTCAATTTACCAGCTAGGATTTTCCAACACTTCTAGCTGGTGCCCTTGTATATCAAGCTTGCATTGTGGTGCCTTTTCTGGCTGCATGCTAAGTTGTTGCACAGTAATGTATTTATATCCACAAAATATTTGTCTCAATCCATTTATTCCAAAAAATAATTTATATAATTGAACTAAAATAATACAATACATTAAACTATTTTTTAATATATATATATATAGAAATACCATATTAAAATTTCTAAGCCATAATAAATATGTATGTTTTATATAGTCGTTTTAATGACAAATTTCATTGATATTGATACATAAAGTAAATTAGGTAGGACAAAAAATTACTCTGTCTGCCTCGAAATTATTGTCTAATTTGAATTTTTATTTTTATTTTTAATATAAATTGAACAAAAAATAAAAAATTAAACTGAACATAATTTTGGAAGAAGGGAGTCGAGGTAGTATAGATTCTCCAGTCTTGCATGAATAATGCGTGTTAATTTTTAATTTCGACGTAAAAGCCCACTACGTAACAATGTGTATTGCTTTGGCGTTTGTGTATGGAATAATAGATTAATCCTCCTTCCAACTTCCAATCATTTCATTATTTTGCTTTTTGACGGGAAGTTTACTGTGAATAGATTCCGATCTACTTCTTCTGGTCTTTAATATAAAGTATTTTGATTTGTCTTATATTTCATCTAATACGTATATTTAATTGACAAAAAACTTTAAAAATATTTCATAATAATCAGAAGAACACAACGAATGCGAAAATATAATTTTAAGATTTTTCCATCAATTAAAAATACGTAATAAGTGAAATTTAGGACAAATTAAAATATTTTATATTAAGAAACGGAAGGAGTATATAACAATATAACACCATCGATAATAGTATTATCAACTAATCTTTTTCCAATGAAATGCATATACCGATGTAAAATTAACACGAGACAGAAAATCTAAAGAAATCAAACTCTCCTGTTTCCGAACGAAAAAAAATGTGTAGCACATTACAGGGGCATCGCATCAAATTAAGATCAACAAATCAATAACTTTTTGACATATTACATCTGCTTTCTTGTTTTGCGTCCTAATCAAGGAAAATGAATTTCTTTACATGCACGCAGATTTCAACTCATGCCGGCCGGCTGATGACTCTGGAAAATGATTGTAATTACCATAGGAGAAGATTGGGAAAAGTAATTCTTGTCATGCTTTTTTTCTATTTTCCTTATTCAATAAGAAAGTTCAAAGTAACCAAAAGGTTGTGATAGGATAGTAAAGACTCCTTCATTTTTAATCATAGGTCGAAGGTTCGAACTTCGTCATAGATATGGAGCAGCCTTAAATTCTTTGGCCAATTCTACCACCTAGCGAAATGCATATTATAAGCGAGGAAAATTAGTCACTATTACTGACGGTATAGTCACCCTGCAATATGGAAAAAAAAAAAAAAAAAAAAAGTTCAAAGTTGTTTCTCGCTTCCATAGATAAGTGGATTTTAGTCTCGGTAGCGTTGAATTAATTAGTCTCTACGAGAGATATTTTGTGTTTCGTTGATTCCTGATTTTGAACACTTGGTCGTTATCAATCTATTTAAACATAATTTTGAACCTATTTTATTTAAAGTTAGGGAGGCTGGTCCGTGATTTACATGTCCAGAAATTATTTATTGGGATCTACTGGATCCAAATTCGAATATAGTAGGTAGAATCTGTTATAGTGTTTGCTTCATAATCTAGTGATGCATATTAGATTCATCCTATAATCTTTTAGTATGACACATTGAAGTGCATTTTTTTTTTACTTAAAAACACGTGAATATATACGGTAAGTATTTTGAAAGCTGATAATTAATACACATTGGAAAAAAGTTCTTTGTTTTTTTACAAAAATAAAAAATCAGTTCCCCTTTCTTACAAATATCATAGTCCTGTCAACATTTTTTTGAACCCGTAAGAATAAACAATTAATCACATTTTGCACTTATAACACTACTTTCTAAAATTATTACAAACACAAATTTAAAATTAAAAGGTAATTAGAGTATAAGTTGAAAACTTTTTCGGTTTTTTCCGTCCAATGAAAGAGGTAAAATCGTAGATACAAAAAATTAGAACATTCCATGAATAAAAAACACCGATGACTCAACCAGCCGGTTTAAAAAGTGCTGATATTCTCCTACTACGAGAAGCAATATCCGCCAGCTGCAAATTAACCTTTCTACAAATACGTTTTAACAAAAGCGAGACGCTGATAACAAGCCACGGTGTTTCACTAAACAGACGAATAAAAGAAAATTTACTTCCTTCTCACATTAAGATCAATGCTATATATTTATTTCTTCACAAACACAAAAATAATGATAATAAAATTAGTGACGAGGGAATCAGTTCCTGTACGAGGTAGAGGACCAGTCATCATAATATTATACTGAGCACATGCAAAAATGAACTGGTATTTTATATTTTTTCAACAATTTATTGGAAAGGATATTGATTCGACTTGAATAAACTAAACTACACACCTTTCACTCACTCACTATATGATATGATATATATAATTATAATATAGTACAATTCAGTAAGAAAAAAATAAAAATGAGAAAAATGAAGGAAAACGATGTCTTTAAATGAGTTCATCCGATCACTTAACTAATCCTCATGGACTGTTCATATTGAGAAGTTCTTCAATCATTTGTAGCGCAACCCTTTGCTCTTCTTCCTCCATTAGTATTTCCTCGAGTTCCAGTCCAGCTTTCATGTTGTTATTGTTGTTATGATTCTCTTCTACCGCTTTTCTGGAATCTGCGTTATGGGCATTATTGTTGTTATTATTATGGTTGTTGTTGTGGTTGGCGATTTTATTGTTTTGAAGCTCCACTTGCATGACCCAACTGGAACTCGAAGCCGGGCCGGCGCGCTTTTGCCAGACTCCGATGTGGGAATTCTCAATGTCTAACCTTAAACAAGTGAGGGAAGGAGATGGTGCCTTGCTGCATCGCCGGAGCTTAGCGTGGAGAATTTCCGACAAGTTCCTCGGAGATGATACTGATGACGAGTCCTGATCGGGTTTACGATGATCTTTTTGATGGTGATGATGATGATGATGAGGATGATGATCAGTTGGGGATGTAACTGAATTATGAGGTAGTGCATTACGATGATTTGGATCATTTTGCGTGACTGGAAAATTAGTTTTGGCATTTCTTCCGCTCATTAAAACGGCTGCTTCATCATAAGCCCTGGCTGCTTCTTCCGCTGTATCAAATGTCCCTAGCCAAACCCTTCTTTTCCTGTCCCATAACAAAGATATATACTAACATTAATGAATTTAGCATGTTGAATAATGTATGAATTAATTTAGAAAGTTGCTAATTAAATTGATCTGCATGATCAATTAATCAAGCATATGTTCATGAACCATTGATTTATTCAACAAAACTTAGAGCATGTACATAGAGGTGCTTACAACAAAGGATGGCGAATTTCGGAAACCCAAGAACCCCAATGGCGTTGCCTGACACCTCTGAACTTTTTAGACTGTACCATTTTTGGACAATATTTTATATGTATTGAGAGAGAGAGAGAGAGAGAGAGAGAGAGATAAGTGTGGAGGGAATATCTAAAAAGGAAGTTGCAGAAGTTGTTCACTATTTATATGCTACCTGGTTCAGAAATTGTCAAGAGACCAGAAGGAAAAAAAGATCAGGATGTGTAGGTCAAAAAAAGTGAAGTGATCAGGAAGGCTTTATGTAAAACCTTAAAAGATAGCTTACGTCACCCAAAAAAGAACGTAAGAGAGATAGTGATTAGAAAATGGTAAAATGTGGGGATGTGATTATAGTTTGATGGTAAGTCTCTAAGTCGATTTTTTTAAAGATTTAGAAATTGAATCCTAACATAAGTGAGATGGATTTTACAAATGTGATTTTAAAAAGACTATTCTCTTACTCATTGTACCCCAAAAGATATGGTCAAGGCTCTTAATCAACAATCTAACTGCCGTTTTCAAAAAAAAAAAGAAAAAGAAACAATCTAACTGCAACGAGCATTCCATCTTACTATGAGCATGCGAAACTGATTATAACTTATGTTTTCAAAACCGGACCGGAAGATGAACCGTTAGTATGACCGGATTGATGGGTTTACCGAGTTAACCGGTTAGCTCGTTCCTCGAAACTGGTGAAAATCGGTTAAAATAATATTCAAAAAATATTTAAAAATTATTTTTTTAAAAGTATATGTAAAAACCGATTTAACCGGTACTGGTTTCTAGTTAAACTACGGTTTTGTCCGAAGTTGACCGAGTTTGACGAAATTATAAAAAATCCAGTTTATTATAAAAACCAGATCGGTGACGCTTTTGGTTCTCGGGCTAACCGGTTTGACCGTCTGGTCCGGTCCGGTTTTGAAAACTTAGATTATAACATTTGTTGAAAAAGTGTTACTTTTGTTATATAAATATACTTAGTTTGAATCTTAATTAGTAAAGATAGTAGTTTTATAATATACAATTGGAAAAAAAAAACTCATATGAAAGTAAAAGAATCAAAAGGGTAAACGCAAATGATGCATGGTACGTTGTCGGTGTCAGGTAATATTAAGTGCGTATTGCACAAATCAACTGTGAGATAACAGTAGTTAGTTTCATAGTCAAGTCCTGGAAGGAAGAGTACGTTTTGCGAGAAAATTCAACAAACTCCCTCCAGGCCCCTCCTCCATCCCCACTTCTTGGCTGTCTTCAATAAATACGGATATGCCATGCAACCCTTAAATAAAAATTTGGTCCAAATCTTTATGAGAATGATGAAAACTAAAAATTACCATTCCACATTTCCACACACAAGGGTGAGACAATTCCCTTTTATTGTTTACTATACTCTTCGTCCCATAATTATTGTCCAGTTTGAGTTTTTATTTTTAATTTAAAATGTACTAAAAGTGAAATATCAAATTGAACAATAATTATGGGACATATGAAGTATCTTATTTCTACCTTACTCCCTCCCACTATCCCATCGTAAATCCCTTCTCTCCATGTCCTTGGTGGTATTTGTGCCTAGGTTATTTTTAATAAAAGTCTCAACCTTGGTCACTGGGTCGTTCTTCGATTTCAAGACAATTCTCTTATTGTAATATATCTTGCTAGAAATTGTAATTTTTCTTTTTGGTTCGTTCAAATGTTGTTGTTAGGCCATGGTATAAGGGCCGGCGGCTCTTCTTTTGTTATCGGACAGATATCGACTTATAATCGTACACCTATATTTTGTTTACACAAAAATATGTAATTTCATGTCTTTACATTATATCAATAAAAAAAAACAAATGAAATGATCATTTTGTGACATGCATCGACTCAATCGATTAAAAGGACTTGGTCACTTGATTGGATGTAACTGGCATGGCCCAATGGCGAGGGAACTGTAATGGTGTTTATAATGCATGGAGGATGATGGCCAATCAGATTGAACTTTTCTTCCAAAAAAGGACTAAAACAATTAAGCTCGTAGATATGAAGTAAACGCCAGAAACCATAGGAGAGAATTGCATGTGGGTTTCTTCTCTCAACTACTACAATTAATCCATGAAGTAGTAGTAGTAGTAGTAGTAGTAGTAGTACTGAGATATTGAAACGTAGTAAATCAGGACAAAGACAAGGACACATGCATGGTCATTCCCCATCTTTAGGGAGTGATTTGATCACTGATTTATTCATCCATCGAGCTTGGTTGTCTTCCATTTATCATAATGTACATGTTGTTTAAATTGATTTGATATAAGTCCTTTTTTAGGAAGTGATCGACATAGAAATTAGGAGGAGTGGGTGGATACTGTTATGGCTGCCGGAGCCAAACAACTCTGCTGATTAATTAATCTCTGGTGAAATTTCAGTAATGGCCAAAATTAACCGAACATCTTCTGAAATCTGAGCACAGATATATAATTCTTGTACTCCCGGATCAATTTGTTTAGATCGTGTTCGCTAACAAATTCGAATATCATGAAATTATTGGATTGTTTGTAAAAATGTTATATTGTCTGCTGTTTAGGGTTTTGGTGGTTACTGCTTCAGTCCTAATTATAAGATACAAATTTGAATTAAATTTAATGTTCATCTGTACCTTAAATTAGGATTAGAGTGGGTCGTTTTTGACTCAATCAATAGTCATATGACATTTTCTGAAGTGTTTAGAGATAAACTCCGCAGATAGTCACCAAATACTCCATCTCGTTAATTACCCTACACTAGAGGAAATAACAATTAGATGAACTTATAACTAACAGTTATAACGTTTTAAGATGGAGTTGGACCAAGAACAAATGACTTGGGAAGTTACGAGAATCATTCTATTCAGACACAATTACAAAGATTTTTTTTTTTTTTTAAAAAAAACACTTCCATCCTCACAAACATTTTCCGTGACTCGGAGACTACTAGGAAGAATGGTTATCGATAGCGTTGTTAGCCGCCATGATTAATGAAGCTGAATCGCCTTGAATTCATCACAAAATGAGTTAGACTCGGTCGTTTACATACTAGTAAAGACTCAGGCATGGCGAGAGTTTCGACAACTTCTCAATGAAAACGTCAAAGATCAAATAGATGATTGCCACAAAATAATAGTAACAAAAGCGGTCTGTTTTTTTTTGGAACAAAGATAGTAGTAACTAATTTGTTTTAAGCCCGGACAAGCACGACAACAAAATATGACTATGCCGAACATTTTACTGAAACTAGCTAGTTCAGGCGCCCAATGAGATCGGTTCACAAACTCATATGGACATCTGAGTTATTTTCAGAGCAAGGAGAAGATGAATAGGTTTCTGACAGGCAAGAGGTCAGAAACGGGATTGTGATATATTTGAACCTAATTAAGCCTTAAGAAGAAAAATAATGTCGCATTTTATGCATTTAATAACTCATTCGATACAGAACCAGCCCCAGCTTGTCGAACCTAAAATTTCAACGTACGAAGCCAGTTTGATCTTCGCCAAATAAAGAAAATACTTTGACATCTAATTCGATTGACATTTTTTTTCAATTAATAGATTTTCAGAAATGTCAAATTGACATATTGGCAATCAGTTATGTAACGACGAAGAAACTTGAAAATATAGACTAATTTTTTCTTTCTCTAATTAATTAAGTTTTAATGAATTTTGACATATTATGATACTCCTTTATTTATGGTTATCGTTTCTTGAATCTTGTCTGCATGTCCACACACTTAACTTCATTTTCCAGCCAATATATAGAAAATACTACTCCCTCTGTTCCGGGAAGAAATTCTAATTAATATAGAAAAACTAAAATCTATAAATTGGATAATATATATGATATTTCAAATTGAAAAATTAATATGAAAAATAAAAAAGAGTATTATGTCTATTTGCTAATTTAAAAATCATTTTTAGATGATATTACTTCCGTCCAAGAAAAATAGTCCATATTGAGTTTTAAAATTTATACTAAAAACTACAATCTCAAAACTCAATATCAATTCTTTTTTTTTTTTGGGACGAGGGAGTATGAATTTTATAACTAACTTATTTTTATTTTTATTCTTTTGTTACAAACTAAGAGGAAAAAGGCTAGGAACAAAATCAACAAATTCCAAAGATCTACAATCCCTATGATACCACGTTCTAACCAATAATTATAACTTCAATTTAATTTCCAAAAATTGGATTTTTTTTTTAATGAAGTAACTAAATTTGACGTTGTGCATTGATCCACGTCACGTTGGATTAATTGGGTATTTGGGTTATAATTAAGCCTCTTCTCTGTCTCCTTAAAAGCTTAGTTGGTCATCTTGATTTGGTTCTCCTACCCCTCATGGTTTTCATTCATGTATGAAAGGTTTTGGGTCCTTCAATTTAGGAAGGCGTAGTTTGTTTTCATGGCTAGCCGATCATTAGGTAACCCCAAATTTGGACTCTTCTGGAGTACCTCTGCGGACCATATTTTCCTTCCAGCTTGAAAATCGACAAACAACTTCATTTCTGCAACCTAGGTCGCAGATGGTTAAAAGTACTGTATCATGTTCAGATAATAAAAAGGAAGTATTGAGGATTTATGATCTGCAAGTTTATTTATGAATAGGTTTGTTATGGGCTATCACCAGATTTTTACCTATTAAGTGTTTTCGTGTACAACTATATGTTCCTGGACATGAAAGATAAATTTGTAAGACTAGTAATAAAGTTAGTTGATGGCAATTCATTAGAAACAAAGAAGAAGAGATATTAAGTACTTCAGGTTTTGGCAGAGTCTATTACGAATAATTTTGCAACTGATTATCTAACATCAAAAGTACAACCAGTGAATCTTGAAGAGTTGAGGGTAATTTGCGTTTGTTACTTAAACCTCCGCCGGATGATGTTGTAGTTTTGATAATTACATTTGATGTACTCTACGTGGTTTCAAAAGAATAATCTATATCACCGTATATTTGTATTTAAAAAAAATCAGTAAATATATAATTTATAGTGTGGAATTTTTTTTTTTGGGAGTAACTGGAATGGTATATACTATTAGACTGTGAAAGTGTGCCCCATCTATTATCTTAGGATTTTACCTCTTTTGCCTCAACAATGACGCCTACATCAGGAGAAAAAGATCCCTAGGGCTAAAAGGATGCAAATGTGCATGCTAGATGTGCGAAAATTTCAAATGGAATCTTTAGAATAATCGAAAAAATTGTCAACCTCA